AGCCAAGGCCCTTGTCTTAGGATAGTAAGTAACGAAGGGCCACAAAAGACTTAATTACCCAAAAGAGGGGGCCTTGGAATAGGGGTGCATTTGACCTTTAAAGAGGGCTCAAAACCATCCAACATGATTGAAATCTCAAGTGTTGACCTGGCTAGGTCAAACACACTCCCAATCATTACTAGGTTACAGGTGTGCCCACCTACAACCTAAGCGTTATAAAAAAAGAAAAGATCCGGGTAGCACCAAGAAACCAGGTAACTTCCACACAAGGAAGAACCATGAAAATTTTAAAACCAGAGACCGTGACCTAGTCGGTGTCTCAAGGTTGGAATGGGCAAATGCGACATAAACAAGAAATACCAAATTAAAGGGTTAATCATCGGGAAACAAAATCACTTGGTGAATTGGGTCACTAACAGGTTAGCTCTCGCACAAGTATAAACTTGTCAAAAATCCTGGGCGGGTCCGAGTTGAGGGACACATCGGGTGAAACCAACACTAAAAGAGGGTCAAGGTCAATATTAAGACTGAGCGTCTCAAAGGTCAAGGATGCCTTAAAAGATGGACAAGGCAAACGAACGGAAGAGATAAGTTAAATGGGAAAGATGTTAGAGTTAAAACAATCGGAAATAAACGCATGCACCTGGTAAATAAAATAAAGTGGTTAAAAGGTACACAAAGGCATAGTTAAATCAATACAAAGTTGGATTGCATCTTCACCATGCATATACAAGCAAATACGAAGGGAATGGGGGAGCCGGCTCTTCCGTAGGGACCGGTGGTAGGTCATAGGCTTTGAAGCTAAACTCTGGGTCTCATGTAGCGAGGGGATTGTGGGTGGCAGCCCTTTCCCTTATCTACCCCACCTTGAAGCCGTAATATCCCACGATGGTAATTATCCTCTTCCCCTCATGCTCGCGGTAAAGGGTCTTGAAGAGGTCCATCGTGGCATCAGGGAGGTGAGGAGCTCCGGCGCAAGTTCGGATTAATGCTCTTTCGTTGAGGCCATAACCTCAACTGGGAGATTTGACTCCTTGTGCTCCAAGGTCCTCCTAAGTGTGAAGTTCTCTTCCATCACCCGGCTATTCTCATCCATCAATCGGGTGTTCTCCACCTGAAGTTTTTTCTGCTCCTTCTCCACCTCCTCGACCAAACCTGTCAACTTGGCCACCTCTTGAGTCTTATTAGCGAAGACGAGGGACATCTCCTTGTTCTTGGGCACATGCACCGGGATCTCCTCCATAGCCACCTAGAGCATACCCTTAAGCCATGAAAGAGCAGAAGATCGGCCTTCAAGGAAGCGGTCCACCATTTCGTGCCTAATCTCACCGGCCTGCATAAAAGAAAATGTGAAATGTAAAGAATGAATAGATAGGACGGGTAGTACGTATTTGAAAATTTTACCTCTCAAAGATGTAGCCCCATCACAAACTAAAAATACTCTAGGGGAAGGGACATCAACCGGCGGTTTCTCCTGGACTTCTTAGAGGACCCATGAGCATCATCAGAGCATCATAAGCTAGTCTCTTCCCAACGACATTGTTCGATCTCTATTCTCCATTCTCCTTCTTCTGTTTGGACTTCTCCCTGCTAGGAGACTTAACCGGCTTCTCCGAAGAGGGTTGTCTCTCCCCTTCAAGGATGATTTCGATAGTATCCCGCTGGATGGGAGTTTTCTGGGAGCTATCCTGGAAATTCTTCTCCTGGGCAGAAGTTGAAGAGGGGTGGGAATGTCTAGTACTAGTCTTATCGGTTGCCTTCTTGGAAGGCATGGCATAGGCGTCAAACTCCATATCTACATAAGGAAAGGAATCAGTCAGATCATGAAAGTTCAATAAGAATATAGTAAATAAAAGAAAGGTGAAGACAAACTTAGGCGAGGCGAGAACCTGGCTTGTACATCGTTGCCCGGGGGAGGTACCTTAGGCCCCTCTGCTTCATGGGTCCTTAAGGTACCAGCCGCACCTTGGTTAACACAGCGAACCCTGCTGCCAAAGTGGAATTTCCTCGAGTCTGGATCACCCTTAAGTAGCCTCTCCAAAGCCTCCTCCTGATTAGGGGAATCAGCCGATAGGGCATACTCGTGATTGAGCAAGTGATCGTTCCAGTGTAAGCCGGCTAGGGGGGAATCATCTCCGGGAATTCAACAAAAGCAAAGGCTCACTTCCACCCCCAGTTACTAGGGGGAAGATTAGTTATAAAGGCCTAGTTTTGACGTGACTTGAAGTAAACGAACCCCTCGCACACGGTCTTCCCGGGAAGGATCTCAAATAAATAAACAAAAAGGCGGAGAGAGGGGTTTATGCTGAGTGATTAACAGATGTTACGAAGCATTTGAGGAGACAGTGAGCTTTGGGTGTAATCTAACTGGGCAGAATGGAAAAGGCGTGGCAAACCTTGACCGGAAGAGGACAGAGGGGGAAGACAATTTTCCCCTCCAGCGATTTGATATGAAAACCAACCCAGGTCTCCTAGTGTGGGGCCACAATGTTGGGCCACATGGGGTTGTAGTGAAGCACATACCCGTTCAGGAGGTGCTGTCGCGCCTTTTTAACGGCAATCTTCGACGTGTTGGGACGAATCACCCAGACGAAGTCTGTGGGAAGGGGAAAATAACTGGCTTCCAACAACCTGTCTTCCCACTCATACCTGCTCTCGTTTGTTGGGGCGAAGGGACCCGATGCCTGGTTCAAAGGATAAGGATCGGGGATTTCCATGTCACCCAGGACAATAGGTGATGGGGGAGGTGAAGAAGAAGGGTTGGAGGAAGACGGGAAGACAACCTCGTCAGATCTGTATGAATGGACTTACTGGTTTTGACTATCTGATGAAGATATGAAGGGTTAGGAAAAGAAAGAAAGAAAAGGACTCAGAGGACTTACTTGGGTGGCTGGGATGGAACTCGGAGGACTTACAGACGGTGCTGGAAAATTTCTCAAAGGACTCAACGACTTAGTGGTTGGGTATCCATCGCACTACCAGTGAGGACCCACGACTTCGCGGAAAGGGTCTTCAGATCTTCAATGCAATAATTCGAGAAACCACCCAGGTGGTTCAACATATTGGAAGGTAGCGATGTGGGAGTAATCTGGTCTATCCAGATTCCCCTGGTCCAACAGACATATTGGGGGATCCTAGCAGAATGCTACGCGCCAAAAGGGGACAGTCGCAAGGAAAAAGCCCCAATGAAAAAGAGACAAACACTTCGAGCCAAAAGAGGCAGCAAGACTTGCACCCACTCACGGTCAAGGCACGTGGTGAGGCATAGGTGCATGCTTGCTTGCCTCCGAATTCCACTATAAATAGATTTATAACCCTTAGTAGAAGGTATCTGAATTTATCTCTCTAGAGCACATTGTGTAATTCCTCCATGTACTCTTCCCTCACTTAATAGCAATTGGACTATAGGTGTTCCAACCTACAGACCTCCCATCTAATCTTCATCTCGTGAGTAATTTTAGCATCTAAACACACAAAACCATCCTAGGCCCGGTTTAGAGTAGTTTACCCGGGGGTTTAGGTAATTTACACCATCAATGGGTTTAAGAGTAAAAAAATACCATTTATCCATACCCAAACCCGTTATTTTTTAAAAAATAAAGGGCCGGGTATAGGACAAGTAGTCTTGACCCATTTAAAACCTGTACCGGTTAAATAAATAGATATTATTTAAAATTACAAAACCCTACCCCTCTTCATCGCTAGTTGTGTCGCTTCCAAATCTATATGTATTTATTTCATCACATTAGAGGCATGTACATGTTTGTTTATGCAGTAGTATAAAGTAAATAGTTTGGAATTAGCTTTAATTTATATAGGACAGTCTTGCAACATGAATTAATGTGAAAAGAAGGCTAATTATGAATCTTAGATTTTGTGGTAGATTTTTTGTAATGAAAGCTTATTTTTTTGCAGTAACATATTAGTCTTATTTTTATTTGTATTCAATTAAAAAGTTTTTCATTAACAATATTTTCAGTAATTTTTTTCTTCAATTATAGAAAAACAAAAGACTCAACATTTATCACGGGTTTACCCGACTCGATACCATGATCTAATGGGTCAAAATCTAGGATTAAACTCTAAGACCCATCGGGTAAACGGCTATAGGTCAGGACCAATATTTTTTTTAAGTATAGAACATTATGGACCGGCTCAAACCCGACCCATTGATAGGCCTAAACACAATGGTCACAAACTTCAGATCACAAGCGTACTATTTGTGAACTTCAATAACGAAAATTAAATTATCTAAAATAATTTTAAAATGAGAATTTATAGAATAAATAGTAAGTTTTTGACGTTTTTGACAATTCTATTTGTGAACCCCACATTGCTTACTGATAGATGCCATAAAGAATACATTTGAACAACATGGAACAAGGCAATTTCAAAAGCATTTTTGTCAATCCATATCATACCTCAAGTCTGAGATATCTTGACAAGTGGAGAATTAAATCCAAACAGAGGGAGTAGGTGTCAAGTCCAACTATCAACTTCAACTTTTAGTTGAGATGTACGGAGTATAAAAACAGCTAACCCATATATGAATCACTTCGAGCTATCGGAAGATCATATTTCGAGCCATGGATATCATATTGCCGCACGGCATGAATAGACGTGCCTTTTGAATTTAGTTTACAATACTTGCTAGTTTCTAGAATTATGTTTAAGAATACTTGTTTTCTCTCCATTCTTCCTAGAGTAACCATTAAATTATGTTGTGTAATAAAGAGCACACGTTCAACTATATATTGAAGATGATCCAACACAATTAATTGCGAGGAAGTCTCTAAGCTACGATAGTTAAATTATCCTTCATATGCATTAGTTTAACTTAAACAAAGTTACTATTTTTTTTTTTTAGTATATTCTTGTTAGACTTGATTTCTACCTAATGAAATGGAAAGAAAGTAAATTACTTTTGCCATAAAACATAGAAGTGTGAATGGAAAATTAGATGAACGAATAACTTAACTAAATGTCGTATATGTTTCCAGACCGTGTATGATCATGACACATTTAGCATGGACGACAAAATGGGGGATGCAGAATTTGACATCAAACAGTTCCTAGAGGCCTTGCAGATGCATCTAGATGGCTTCCCGAGTGGCACCGTGATCACACGAGTACAACCGTGTAGAGCAAATTGCCTGGCAGAGGAGTCGTGTGTCGTCTGGAAAGATGGTAAGGTCTCGCAAGATATGTGCCTGAGATTGAGAAATGTGGAATGCGGGGAGGTAGAACTCCAATTTGAGTGGATGGCGATTCCCGGCCACAAGTAAAGGCTTCATCCACCCCCTCTTCTTGAAATTCACTATTTCTTTGGAAAATGTCTTTTAAAATGGTCCTGTATAATTTGCCAATCCAAGGCTATGTATTGTTGAATAATTTGCACATTGAATTAGTCAAAGTTGTCCTATTCTTTTGGAATAAGTCATTTGCTTTGTTAGAGTAGTTGTCCTAGTCTTTTGGGATTAATTTCTACTTCTCTTAGTGCCTAGTTTGTAGGAGTCAGTTGTGTTAGTGCCTATTTAATGGCTGTTTGTTATTATTCCTCAAAGAATCTATAGCTGACATTTGGTAGCAGAGCTACTGTAAAATCATTGCAGCAGCAATATCAATTGATCCATGGAATCCAAGGCCTTTGTTCAACCCTGTATTCCCCGCTTTGATGGTCAATACGATCTTGGAGCATGTTGATGGAGAACTTTCTCCGGTCGAAAGAGCTTTGGGCCGTGGTGGAAACTGTAGTAGCATCTCCCACTGCTAAGTTGCTAGCTAACCAAAGAACAAGGAGGTTACACTCAACAAACCATAAATCAAGGTTAGTAAACAAATCAAATCTTGAGTGCTTCCATTTCCACAAGTATAGTCACTACCGAAATAAGTTCTACACCAATTTGAAGGGGAAAAAAGAAGAAAAAACTCATTTTGCTGAAAGGGAAGAAGAGATATGTAACGCCCTGCGACCCGGTCTATTAGAATTGATTAATCTAATTAATTAATTACTAACTCGAACCAGGGTTTGGAAAATAAAATCCTTAGAAAAATTATTTGATTATGTCATAATATTCGTTTTGACTGTCTGATTCCAGAAACGTAAACGGATCTCAATTCGGACCCGTTCGGGGAAAATACCGCGTACCGATCAGGTAAGATTTATACAACGAAGTGGAATTTAGGGAGATAACTCCCATTCAAACCACACGCCACTACACTCCTCATTTTCCATAACCCCCCATCATAATTTTCTCCATTTATCTCTCATAAATCCCCATTACTCTTCTCTTTCAATTTAAACCCATTCCAATCCCTTTCCTTAGCATTTTGTAACTCCCAAGGCATTCACACACCCTCTCCCTCTTCCCCTTGCATTTTCAGCCAGACCATAGTAGCTCAAGGAGGTGATTCGTGCAAATTGACGGGAAGGTTGAAGAGGAGAAGTTCACGCGAGAAGCTGTTCGTTTGTTCATCCGTTCGTTGCCCAACGTTCGTTGTCCGTTTGTTATCCGTTCGTTCATCCGTTACCGTTATCGTAAATCTCTGCGTTTAGACGTGAGTACGTTGCCCTCTAACTTTAGAATTCGTAGTATAATGATATCGTTATATTCATAGGATTACCGGCTAAACCTACGTGCATCCACATCGTCATGACTTTTCGTTTATTAGGCCTTTCGATTACACACTTGTTAGTATAAACGTTACAAAACGTTGCAAACTCATCAAAACTTAAGCTGGAAACATAAACGTTCATTTCTAAAACTCTCAACGTCTTAATGAAAATCCAACAGGCAAAAATAGGAACCAGCGTGCCTTAATAATCGATTTACAGAATCTGACAATCGATTATTAGGTCGCGCTCAACTTCTCAGTTTTTTTTAGCAAGGTGATAATCGATTTTTTTTAGAAAGAGAAGAGTAATGGGGATTTATGAGACATAAATGGAGAAAATAATGATGGGGGGTTATGGAAAATGAGGAGTGTAGTGGCGTTTGATTTGAATGGGAGTTATCTCCCTAAATTCCACTCCGTTGTATAAAATCTTACCTGATCGGTACGCGGTATTTTCCCCGAACGGGTCCGAATTGAGATCCGTTTACGTTTCTAGAATCAGACAGTCAAAACGAATATTATGACATAATAAAATAATTTTTCTAAGGATTTTATTTTCCAAACCCCGGTCCGAGTTAGTAATTAATTAATTAGATTAATCAATTCTAATAGACCGGGTCGCAGGGCGTTACAGTTATCCACCCCTTAAGAAAATTTTGTCCTCGAAATTTACGTGATCACTGGTCACTGAAAAGATGGGGATAACGGGTGCGCATGGATTCCTCCGTTTCGCATGTCGCCTCCTCAACGGTGTGACTTCTCCACAGAACCTTGACCAACGGAATGGTTTTGTTCCTCAACTGACGGATCTCCCGAGCCAAAATCTCAACTGGCTCCTCCTCATATGTAAGGTTCTCGTCGAGAGTGACCGTATCCGCTAGGATCACGTGTGAAGGGTCTGACCGGTACCTTCGGAGCATAGACACGTGGAATACATTATGAATCCTGCTCAACTCAGATGGTAATTCGAGCCTGTAGGCTATAGGTCCCACACGTTCAGTGATTGGGTATGGGTTTATAAACCTCGGACTAAGTTTTCCCTTCTTGCCGAAACGCAAAACATTCTTCTAAGGAGATACCTTCAAGAAAACCTTATCTCCCACCGCATACTCGATATCGCGTCTCTTAAGGTCGGCGTAGGACTTTTGTCGGTCCAATGCCACCTTAAGTCGGTCCTTAATTACCTGGACCTTCTCCTCGGTTTCACGAACTAGATCTGGTCCTTCCAACTTCCTCTCGCTGAGCTCCGTCAAGCAAGTAGGAGTCCGGCACGGCCTACAGTACAAAGCCTCGTACGGTGCCATACTGATGCTAGCCTGATAGCTGTTGTTGTATGCGAACTCCATCAACGGTAGATATCGCTCCCAACCATCCCCGAAGTCGATCGCGCAGGCGCGCATCATAACCTCGAGGATCTGGATAACCCTCTCGGACTGACCGTCCGTCTATGGGTGGAAAGCCGTACTGAAGTGAAGATCAGAGCCCAAGGCTTTCTGTAGGCTCTTCCAGAACTGTGACGTGAAACGCGGGTCACGGTCCAAAATGATAGATGAGGGAACTCCATGTAACCGGATGATCTCGCAGATGTATAGCTCCGCCAGACGCTGTAAAGAGAAATCTCGTCGTATCGGAAGGAAATGGGCGGACTTAGTCAAACGGTCCACAATGACCCAAACTGTATCGTTCTTGCGAGGCGACAAAGGTAGTCCCACTACAAAGTCCATGGTGATACGATCCCACTTCCACTCGGGAATCGTAATCTGCTGAAGTAGTCCGCTCGGTACCTGGTGCTCAGCCTTAACTTGCTGGCATGTCAAGCATCGTGCTGTAAACTCTATGATCTCTCTCTTCATCGCAGGCCACCAGTAATGCTTCCGGAGATCCTGGAACATCTTGTTACTACCGGGGTGCATGGTATATACCGTACCATGTGCTTCACGGAGGATACGTTCCCTTACCTCCCCCACTGGCACTACCACACGTGCCCGATACAACAAGACACCATCCTCACGGACAGAGAAGTCAGGTTTCTCGCCCCGAGAGGCGAGCCAATAGGTCTGCCTGCAGAAACCGTCGCTGCTCTGTTCCGTCACAATCTTATGCAACAATGTAGGCTGAACTCGGAGTACGACTAGAGTTTTGCGACTAAGAGCATCAGCCACCACATTCGCCTTACCAGGGTGATAAGCGATATGACAGTCGTAGTCCTTAATCAACTCCAACCATCTCTGCTGTCGTAGATTCAAATCCTTCTGACTCAAGAGATACTGCAGACTTTTATGATCGGTGAAGATACGCGTCGCCTCGCCGTACAGATAATGCCTCAAAATCTTGAGAGCGAGAACGATCGCCGCCAACTCTAGATCGTGTGTTGGGTAGTTTCACTCGTGCAGCTTCAACTGCCGAGTCGCATAAGCTACAACCTTACCCTCCTGCATAAGAACACACCCTAGGCCATTGTGTGAAGCATCGCTGTATACCGTATACTCCACTCCTGGGGTCGCCTGAACCAATAAGGGTGCCTGGGTCAAACACTCCTTCAGTTTCTCGAAGCTCTGCTGACAAGCCTCGATCCAGTCAAACTTCACGTCCTTCTTCATTAACTTGTGCAAGGGTGAAGCTATCCTCGAGAAGTCTTTCACGAATCGGCGGTAGTATCCTGCCAACCCGAGGAAACTCCTCACCTCTCGAGCATTGCGTGGAATCTTCCACTCCGTGATCGCCGAGATCTTAAACGGGTCCACCTTCACTCCTTCAGCCGAGATGACGTGGCCGAGGAAGGTGACCTCGTGCAACCAAAACTCACATTTGGGTAGCTTGGCATAAAGTTTCTGCTCTCGTAGGATGCCGAGTACCGTGCGCAGGTGCTCCGCGTACTCCTCACGCGTCTTGGAGTACACCAGGATATCGTCGATGAAAACAACCACGAACTGATCAAGGTACTTACGAAACACGCTGTTCATCAGATCCATGAAGACAGCCGGTGCGTTGGTCAACCGAAAAGGCATCACCGTGAACTCGTAGTGACCATAACGTGTGCGGAACGCCGTCTTAGAAATATCCTCCTTCTTGACCGGGATCTGATGGTACCCTGATCGCAGATCAATCTTAGAGAAGACTTTGGCTCCTCTCAACTGGTCGAACAAGTCATCAATGCGAGGAAGAGGATAACGATTCTTGATGGTGACTTTGTTCAGCTGGCGGTAATCGATGCACAGTCTCATCGAACCGTCCTTCTTGCGGACGAACAGGACTGGTGCACCCCAAGGGGACACACTAGGACGTATGAAGCCCTTATCCAAGAGCTCCTGTAGTTGAGCTTTCAACTCCTTCATCTCTGCCGGGGCCATGCGATAAGGTGTGATGGAGATGGGTCCCGTTCCCGGAACCAAGTCGATAGAGAATTCTACCTCCCTCGGAGGTGGTAGTCCTGGCAGCTCGTCTGGAAATACGTCTGGGAACTCGCACACAGTGGGGATTTCCTCCCGTCCGGGTGCCTCTCGCTGCGTGTCGCGGACAGTGCATAGAAAGGCCTCGCATTTCTTGCATATGAGGCGACGAGCTTGCATATATGAGATAAATTCGGGAGCCTTCGGGAAAAGCTCGCCACGGATCAGAACGTCATTACCATCTTTGGCTTTCAGCCGTACTGTATGTGCGCCACAATCAACAACGGCTTGATTGGCTGTAACCCAATCCATGCCCAGGATAACATCGAATTCTCGATGTGGGAGCTTTATCAGATTTGCAGGGAAGCTCTTCCCTTGCACAACTAGCGGACAATCAGAATAGATATATTTGAGACATAGACTGTGTCCCAACGGATTGGACACAATCACCGGATTCTCCAGGTTCTCTCTCGGAATATTAAATGATTCAGGCACAGATGTACACAGATATGACAATGTGGAACCTGGGTCAATCAAAGCAGATTTGGATGTATCGAATAAGGTGAACATACCCATAATCACATCATGAGCGGGCTGCTCAGTGTGTCCATGCATTACATAAGTACGAGCTGGAGCCTTCCCGGACTGAGTGCCCTGTGCCGGCCTTTTCGGTTGACTGGACGCCGCTACCGGCTTCTGACTCGGTGCAGGCTGGGCTGCTAGAGCTGAGGCTACGGCTGCGGGCGCTGTCGGGAACGCCTCACCAGGGTTCGTCGGGCAGTTCCTGCGGTAATGCCCGGCCTGTCCACACCCAAGGCATAGGCCCTGAGTGAACCAGCACTCGCCGGAGTGCCTTCGGCCGCAGAGGTTGCAGATCGAGTTCCGATATCTGCTCTTCTGAGTGGGTGCTGACGACGTGGCTGGTGCGGACCTAACCTTCTTGCTCGAGTGCGAGCTGCTCGGTATGTGAGGAGGCCTCTTGCTACTCGAGCCGGATCTGGATGGCGGTGACGGTCGAGGATGCATCGTTTGGGACTGCTCATACTCAGCCTTCTTGAGTAAGGCCGTTTGTAACTCCAACGCCTGCTTGTGCAAGTCATTGATGTCATTCCTCGGTGCGGAGACCAGTCCGGAGCACAAATCAGGGCGTAACCCCTCCCTGAAGCGCTTTCACCTCTTCTCCATTGTCGGCACCAAGTCCCGACCAAACTCGGCCAGCTCATCGAACTTCTGGCGATACTCTGGCAGCGTAAGTTCACCCTGCATGAACTTCATGAACTCGTCACGCTTCTCCTCCATGAAGTGCTCGGGCACATACTCCTCACGGAAGAGCTCGTCGAAGGTCGCCCACGGCACCGGCTCCGGGATGTTCGCTCCTGCGCGTTTCCACCAGTCGTAGGCGGCATCCTGAAGTAAGGCGATAGCTAGGTTGCCTCTCTGCTCTGCTGGAACTCGTAAGGTCCTGAGTACTCGACTCACACGCTCGAGCCAGCGCTTCGCGACCATGGGTTCCGCGATCTGGTCGCCACAAAACTCCTCGGCTCCGTTCTTCTTCAGCTTCTCAATCGTGACCACGACCATAGGAGGTGTAACACCCTAATCCGTCCAGGTCTGCAGCCCCATTCGGACTAAAGTATTTAACTTGGTAATCGTAAAAATTTAAAACTTTTCAAACACACTTTATTAATCTCAATAATATTTTTCATAACATATCCAGTACGGAGTATTCAACAATATTGCGGAAGCAATTTTAATATTGACATATCATAAATTGTTTCAAAACTTGTCACATCCATCCCGACAATCTCGCCCCATCTGCCGCCAGGATCACATTGTGCTTTCTGCTTACCTGCGTGTAGCAAATAAAACACACTACTCGCTCAGCGGTAAAGCTGAGTAAGCATATCTAATGCGTCGAACATCCATATAAACTGAATCTAAATTCATAATCAAATCATTTGATATCATGCACACAATGTTCATTTAAGACATTCACAGTTTTGGTATTTTTCAGTTCATACCAACACATTTTATTCAATTCAGATACTATATCAATAGTGCTCTTAAATTATTCTTAATCTAAGGCCAGATCATAACAACGCTCTTAGCTATTCTTAGTCTAAGGCCAGATCATAATAATGCTCTTAACTGTTCTTAGTCTAAGGCCAAATCATAATAATGCTCTTAGCTATTCTTAGTCTAAGGCCAAATCATAATAATGCTCTTAGCTATTCTTAGTCTAAGGCCAAATCATAACTTCCATAACCAGATTCTTTTAAGGTATATATTGATCAGACACTTAAACTATCATAAGTTTAAGGCAATTGATTTCAGACACTTAACTGCAGTCAGTTAAAGCAATCAGACACTTAAACTATCACAAGTTTAAGGCAAATGATTCGGACACTTAACTGTAGTCAGTTAAGGCAACAATAATATAGCGATTGATCAACATTAGATCGGGCATTCCCAAACGAGTGATTCTCTAGTTTGGTCTATGAATCCCATTTATGCGTTTTTATCTAATTCATCAAATGCTCATGTTTTCATAAGCCTGTTCTAATACAAGATCTATTCTAGAGGTCTTCTAGATAGCCTTAACATCAATTAACTAATAGGTATATCTTAGAGTTCTTCTAGATACCGTTTACCAATACAAATCGTTTAATAATTATCAATATATTCATTACTCTCATGGCTGAATCATCAATAATCATTTTGATCAGTTAGTTCATTATTCATGATCATCCATAATAATCATTCATCATAATCATTAATCAACATAACAATTGATAACAAATAGCGGTCTAGTTTTAAGTGTTAACACTCTAACTTACCGTCATGCATCACATAATGTTTTATATGCCTAAAACATCATTTTTATTATACAAAATCATATTTGTATTGTTCATAATTAATTGTTATCAAAAATAGGATTTTAGAGCATATTTTCAGGAATATATTTTCGTAGCAGGATTTGTAATTGAGGAAAATATTTTAAAATAATCATTTAATTTATAAAAATTGATTTATATAATTTTAAATAATCCATTAATTCATAATAATTGATTTTTACAATTTAAATAATCAATTAATTCATTATAATCAATTTTTACAATTTAAATAATCAATTAATTAATTTTAATCGAGTTTTACAATATAAATAATCGATTAATTCATAAAAAATCGATTTTTACAATTTAAATAATCCATTAATTCATAATAATCGATTTTTACAATTTAAATAATCAATTAATTCATAATAATCGATTTTTACAATTTAAATAATCAATTAATTAATTTTAATCGATTTTTACAATATAAATAATCGATTAATTCATAAAAAATCGATTTTTACAATTTAAATAATCCATTAATTCATAATAATCGATTTTTACAATTTAAATAATCAATTAATT